TTCAGATGTACAGAAATGCATTGCAAAAGGGGACAAAAGAACAAGCAGAGCCAATGTCCTTTTTCCAATTAATGTGGCAAAGTTCGTGGCAAACGATTCAGCAGTCGCATTAAATATCACCCAGGTTTACCCCATGGTGGAGCTAGAGGTAAAGACAGGATAATGGCAACTGCAAGATTTTAGCTGTCATTATCCTTCCTCAATTAAATTAGAAAGACTTCTTTCACATCAGCTGGATCCAGAAAAACTAAAAGCCAATGGTACTCTTGTATCATGTGTAATGATAGTAGCCATGAAATCAAATCATTATTTGTCAAGACAGTTTTTCTTAATAGGCACTGACCAAACCCTCTTTCAAATTCAAATGTGCACCATATAAACTTCCTCTGAACTGAAATACAGGGATAGAGGTCAGAGGTCATAGAAAGAAATGGGAAATAGGAAAAAAAACAAAACATAAAGGATTTCTGAATCTTTTAATCTTTAGTTTTTAAATGTATTTAATACACTCTAAATGCCCATAATTTATTTTTAACTTGCAAATTGCTTTGAGATCTCAAATTAAAGTTAAAGTAAAAAAAAAATTAAATTCATACATCTATTTTCTACTGCTTATAAATCGTGTCAGGAATCTATCTTATATACAATGTTCCCAAAACACCTCACCGAAAAGGTGTCAAAGGTGCATCAGTGTGAGATACCCGCATCTTCAGCTGTTTCCTTTGATTCTGAACTTTTTAAAAAAAATGATCAAAGTGTGTTTGAGGTTTGACAAAGTTGCTATCAGCAAAGGCTTACCAGCAAACCTCCCACAGAGCCTTTCCTCCTTGTTATCTATGCAAAGCGTAAACAACAAGAAGCACAGAAGTTAAGCTGGCTCATAACTCAAGTTTCTGACCAGCAGGAAACATTCTAAAATACTGATATGACTGCCTGTGTTGGCCTTTTAGTGGTGTGCGGATCGATATTGAAATATCGATTCTTCCGATACCAGTAATTTATGTTCTAGAATCGATTCTCATATTAAAATATCAATATTTTAGTACTTTGGGGTAAATTTGTAGTTTTTTATTAACAGGAACACAGTGGAAAGAAACTATATCATTCGGATCGTCTAAATTGGAAGGAACTACTTCTCCTTTCACGTCATAGTGCGAAATACGGCTGTATAAATGTGTCAGCCCTGCGCACTCACAACAATGGCTGAGCGTAAATGGAGTCATGTGTGGACGTGTTTTACCTCCACAAACAGCTAAGACGCGGTTTGCGATACATGTAGCAAGACAGTGAGGTGTTGTGGTAACACCACTAACTTCGTCAAACACCTCACAGTGAATCATATCACAGAATATGACGAGGTTATGTTGAGGTGAACTGAAGAGGAGGAGAGGGGCAGGTGCTGCTAGGGCGAGACAGACGTCTCTGAGTCCTTTAGTGCTGCAAGCAGGCAACGTGTTCAAATAGCGCACAGCTTCAGGTTTTTTATTTCTAAATAATAATTCTGCATTATGAAGTGATAAGAACAAGTAGTCTGATGTCCTGTAATCATTATGAAGCTTTTATTATTATATTATTATTACAATTGTAATAAACATTACGTCTTTGTACAGAGTATCGGTATCGGATCAGTATTGTCGATTTACCCTGAATTTTACTTGGTATCGGATCGGAAAGGAAATCAGTGGTATCACACATCACTAATGACCACAGTTTAAAGGATGCAAAGTGGCTGATTGGCTCAAAGAAGGCCAACAAGGAGATGATTGGACTAGTGTAATGATGTCACTATTGATTTTGACACTGTGGGAAAGTAGAGATGTAAAGAAGAGACTACCAACTGAATACTGAGGAAACAGGCAGATGAGTGATTACAGACTGTCCTTATTAAATTAAGAACAAACGTAATCAATAGACTAACAAATGTTCTAATTCCATTATCTGATCTGTTGGATATTGCCTGCCTCTGCTAAATTCTTTTTATACCTGGTGGAGATAAAAATGTACTTCGCCCTCTGATTTTAAGTGCTTAATCATGAGTTTACAGCACAATCATCAATGAAATCAGAAATGGACTTTCTCTTTCAACAATCACTATTCTGTTAAAGATGATATTTTATAGCGGGATGATCTGGATGCATCCTATTTCCAACATTTCATTAAGCACAACTATTTCAGTGTGACAACAATCAGCTAGAAATGTACAATTTCCACCTGCCTGGTTGTTGACATTAGAATTCCCTACAAAGGTGAGAGGTCCAGCCTCTCTTTTCAGCTTGATAAAATGCAGCTGCAGACCAAGGCTGCTTTGACATTCTGCAGTTATGAAGGACATCTCTGGAGAAATTACATGTATGCTTTTTGGCTTTGCTAGTAATAATGCACCTATGACTGGCTTACAGAGAGGAGCAACCACACCTGTGCAAAAAGATTAACCACAAGTGTTATTCACAAGCTATGATTTGTTGCCCATGACGCTATAAAACAGATTACAGACCTAGGTATTGATCAACTTTGACTCCAAAAATGTCCTGATGATCTCAGTAAATTTAACAGCGTGGCCTTATTCTCTGTTCAGAGAAATGCGTATGTGGGTAAAATAAAGCTGCAGATGACCCTTTGCAGAAAAACTCCATGACTAAAGCAGATTGCTGTCTGCTTTAATGATTCTGACGTGGAAAACTCTATTGTTACAAAATATTTCTCAATTTTTAGCATTTTGTGCTGTTAAAGTTTGAGATTTGTCATGGAAACTCAAAAGAAACTGCAAACACCCGATGAGCTTGTTCGAAATGGTTTATTCACATGTTGCAACATGGAGAGAGCGCGCTGGTCAAATGCCAAAGTCATCTCTGAAGATGGGCCACCACCCTATAAGACATGTATAACATATGTATATAAGAATAGAGTGTAG